GGATTATTCTTTTGGTGTTATGTCTAAGAACTCTGCCCAAACCTAGATCCCAAAGATTATCTTCTATTTTCCCCCCTAAGTTCTATAGTTTTACATTCCACTTAAGTTTGTGATATATTTTGAGTTCTCTTTTTAATAATGTGTAAAATTAGGTCAAGATTTATTTTTTTGCTTATGGATGTCAAATTCCTCCAGCACCATATGTAGAAAAGGCACTCTTTCTTCCATTAAATTGCTTTTTCACCTTTATCAAAAATCTGTTGGGAATGTTTGTATAATCTATTTCTCGATTCTGTATTCTGTTCCACTTATCTTTGAGTCTTATCCCTCCACACATATCACAGTCTTGAGTACTGTAGCTGTGTAACAAAGTCCTGTTATTAAGTAGATTGTTCCTCCCACTTTATTCTTCTCTTTCATAATTTTTTTTTTTTTTTTTTTTTGCTATTCTAGTGCTTTCTCTTTCTCTAATTTCATCTATATCTACAAAATATTTCTCTGGGATTTTAATAGGAATTAAACCTATATATATATATATATTTGGAGAAAACTGAAATTTTTACTATGTGGAAACTTCCAATCCATGAACATGATATGTCTCTCCATTTACTTGGATCTTTGATTTCTTTCCTCAACATTGTATCATTTTCAGCATATAAATTCTGTATAAGTTTTCTTAGATTTACATACAAGTTTTTTTATTGTAAATGGTACTATTTTTAATTTTAAAATTTTCATGAGTTCATTAGTAATATATAGAAATGTGATTGACTTTGTATTCTGCAAACTTGACCTCACTTTTTATTTATTATTATTTTACGCCCTTTTTATCACCTAGTTTTTAGAACATTTTTGTAGATTGCTTGGCATTTTCAACATACATAATCATGTATTCAGCAAATGAGGGCAGTTTTATTTTTTCCCTTCTAATCTGTATGCCTTTTATTTTATTTTCTGCCTATTGCACTGCCTAAAACCCAAGCACTCTGTTGAATAAAAGTGGTGAGAATGGACATCTTTGCCTTGTTCCTGATCCTAGGAGGACTTCACTTGGTCATTGTGTAGTATTCTTTTTATACATTGCTGAATTCTATTTGCTAATATTTTGTTAGAAATTTTTATATACATATTCATGAATGGTAATGGTCTTTTTTTTTTTAACTTACTACCTTTGGTTTTGTTCTCAGAATAACACTAGTTTCATAAAATAAATATCGTGGAGGATATTTTTACTGGGCATAGGCTTTTAGGTTTTCCATTCTTTTCTTTCAGCACTTGAAAAACATTGTGTTACTTTCTTCCATCCTCCTTAGTTTCAGATAATAAATCCACTGTCTATCAAATTGTCTTCTGTATAGTTAGACTATCATTTTTGTCTAGATGCTTTTAATATTTTTTAAGAAATATTTTAAGAAATATTTTTAAGAAATATTTTAAGAAATATTTTTAAGAAATATTTTAAGAAATATTTTTAAGAAATATTTTCAGAAGTTTAACTGTGTTTTATATCACCGTGGATTTCTTTAGGTTTTTCATGTTTTGATCCACTCAGCTTTTTGAACCTGTAGGTTTGTAACTTTTGCCAAATTTGGATGTTGTCTGCCACTATTTCTTCTAGCATCTATTCAGCCCCACCTTTTCTCTTCTCCATCCTGGGCTCAAATAATGTGAGTATTGGACCTTTAGTTCTAGGTCCCTGAAGCATTGTTCATTTTTTCTCCAGTCTATTTTCTCTGGGTAGTTCATATTGGATAGTTTTGATTATTCTTTCATCCCGTTCACAGATTCTTTCCTCTTTCACCTCCATTCTGCTGCTGAGCCCAGTTCTAACTGGTGAAGAATCTGACTCTTGGTTTTGTCTCAGGTCATGATCTCATGGGTTGTGGAATCAAGCCCCCAGGCAAGCTCTGTACTCAGCGCAGAGTCAGCTTGAAGATCCTCTCCCTCTGCCCCTCCCCCCACTTGTGCTGACATGCACTTGCTCTCTCAAATAAATAAATAAATATTTAAATAAATATAAATAAATAAAACATTTCAGTGGCTTTCTACTACTCTAGTTCAGAAGTTAAAATCCTTTACATGACCTCAAAGTCTTGTGTGGACTGCCCCTGCTCCATTCTCTCACATCACTTTTACTCTGTCAGTCATGACACTGCATTCGATATTTTGAGGCACTTTGTTTCTTCCCACCATAGCACATCTTGTGTCTGAAGGACTCCATTTCATCACAACAGCCCCATGAATGACCTTACTTTGTGGCTGGCCAAAGATCCCTTTCTTGTCTCTTATGTGTGTGCCAGTCTTTAAGGTTGGGACGCTGATTAGTAATCAACCATCCACTGCTTCATTGCACTTGGAGCAGCAGAATAGCTACCATGGTGATGAATATTGCTGTCAACAATATTGAGTTTATCTGATAGGGTGTATTGACTTGATGTCCCAATTGATATCTCCCTCAGGAGGAAGAGGTCTTTTGCTTTGAAATTTGTAAGTATTTATGCATGAGTCTCTTGATGAGCTGTCAAGATAGAAAAGGAAATACAGAGAAAGTGCCTGGCAGAGCACATTGTAGTGTGCAAGTCTCCACCTCCATTTTACTTTGGTGCCATTTGTGTAAATAATGGGTCTGCTCAGCTAACACTCTGCATGGTGGACAAACAGCGTTTGCATTAAAGAAGCCCTTTAGGGTATAGAAGTAGGAATGCATAGAATAAGACTAAAACAAGGATAAAAGACAAATCCATGGTCTACAGAATCATGTGATTAAGTCATCTGTATCTTTGATAATTCAGTCTCTGTCATAGTATAAATTTGGGACTGAGTCAAAGGCTTAGGAATGAGTTCCCTTTTATCTCTCTCCCATACCCCAAAACCTCTGACATCCCCAGGAGGCTTCTCCAAAGCCTGTCAGGTCTTAGAGGACATGCCACTTTCTCTCCTTCTACTTGTACCCACTGCTTCAAGAGTCAAGTCCAAGGACATCTTAATCCCCAGCATCTGTTGGTCTTTGTATATCGGAAACCACAAAGTGGGATTTCCCAGCCACTATCAGAGCAACTGAGAAGGACTTCCCCCGATACTCCCAAGCCACCACTCCTTCCAGAGTACCTTGTTTCTCACCTCCCCCACCTTTGCCACACAGATTTGCTTTACAGAAAAAATCCCCAAGTTTTACTGGAAACTCAACTTCCATCCTAGTAGACACTATTGTCAGAGAGAATGAGCAAAAAATAGTAAGACTGGGAGGATGACCTCCAGGCTTATACAAACACACTTGGTTCTCAGAAACACTTTTCTCAAATCCAACTTTTATCACCTGTTAACAGTTTAATGATTTTCATGGACTTGTGAAACTCATTTACAATTTCTTTTAAGTTGAAAAAACAATGTCATTTCTTTTTCACAATAGACATTTGTTAAATTTATAATCTCACTTCTAGTGTGGTATAATTTTTTAATTTTGGAATTATTTTCCACATGCATACATAATTATACCATTTGTACACAGCACTTTGGATTATTCTTTCTCAACAATATATCTATGCCTTTTCTATGTTCCTGAATTCTGAGTATTCATTCAGAATTTTTATTTTACACTGAAAAATATCTTTCAAACTTATTCTGTTGTCTATCTCTCTTGCAGATATATTAATAGGAAGATGTAAGTGAGATAAATTTGTTAAGATTCTTCTAAAGTGGCAACTTCCGCCTGGCTGACGGAATTTAAAAGCCATCCTGATTTTGGGGATGTTAAAATAAAAGATTCCATAATATGATACCATGGACACAGTCCTTTGCTTGATAGAACAATTCCCACCCTGTTGAAGTTCTCTGTGCCTTCCCAGATCATCCCTCTCAGCTTTCCACCCTAGCGATATCTACTATTCTGAATGTTGTTTTACTCTTTTGTTTTTCTCTACACTCTCAGTAAATATGTACCCCTAAACATGTTGTTTGATCTTGTTTTTTTAACTGTTCTATAAATGGAACTATATCCTATGTATTTTTCTATTGCTTATATTATTCAATATGATGTGAGATTGATCCATGCTAACATGAATGGCTGGTATTCATTTTCACTGTTATCTAATATGCACTGTATTCATATACCACAACTTATTGATCCTCCTGTTTGATGAACATTTGAGCTTTTCCAGGGTTTTGCTATCACGAATTGTTTTACTGTCAACATTCTCCTAGTTGTCTCCTGGCAAGCGTATGTGAGAGTTTCTCCAAAGAATATACTTAGGAGGAAGAATTGTTAAGATTGGATCTTGAGTGGGCAAACCTTTTCTGTAAAGTGCCAGTGGGTAAATATTTTAGACTTTGTAGGCCATAAGGTCTCTGTTGTAACTATGCAAATCTGCCATTTTAATGAGAGAGTAGCCGAAGACAATTTATAGCTGAATGGCTGTAGCTATGTTCCAATAAAACTTTGCTTACAAAACCAGTTAATTGGCAAGATTTGGCCCTCAGGATGCCAATTCCTGATCTAGATGATAAACTTCTCATTCTGATTGTCTACAAATGTGGCTATATCCCCTTTATCTCTCAATTATCCCAAGGAGATGTGAGTCCTGTCTTCAGTCTAAGGACTGGGCTGAAAGTCTGTGTTCAGGAACCTTTGGGAAAGAGAAAGAAGAGCATGGGAACATGGGAGTGGTGATGCTTTCCAGCCCATAGTCTATGACTTGTAGTCATTGTCTTGGGGAAACCAACGGCAGAAAGGGGTTGAAGCAAAGCATGGCACTCATACAGACTCTGCTGGTCATGGATGGGAGGTGAAGTTGTTTGACTGGAGGCTGGGGTCTCAGGCTGTAGCTTGGCTCACATCACAGGAGCCACTGTGAGGTCATTATCAGGCTAGGGGATATAGACATTCAAACAAGATAGCATTTCTTTTGGAGTTGCATGGTTTCCTTTATTAGAAAAAGCTGGAATTGATTCTAGGGATACTTCCCTGAGGCTGGGTCTCCACTGCAGATTCCTTCCCGGTCTATTTAAATGGATTTTGCTTCAAAGATTATGGTCTCCATTGATTCAGATGTCATGGTGCTACAGATTTCCAGGTCTTTGCCATCCGGGGTTTTCTCTACCTTCGTCTCTATGTTGCACTTCTCTAACGACTTAGCCACGAAGTCTACCTCTCTATTGTGTGATGGGACCCTTGTTTTTGAACCAGGCATGGCTCTCAAGTTCCTGAAGAAAGAGCCAATTTTACTGGATTTCTTACTTATAGCACTTGAACTATTTGCAGATTTGATCTTCCCCAATTTGTGAGCTGTCCTTGACACCCTTGCTGCAGAGCCATGGGTACCACTCTTGTGAGAGCTGTGTCCTCTGCTTCTTGCATGGCTCTGCCCCTTCTCCTTTCTGTCATCTCTTTTGTCATGGCCGGATAAGGACCGATGGGAGGATGATTTCCGGGTCGACTTATTTCCTCCGGTCCTGTGGTGACTTTCACCTGTCCTGTGGTGACTTTCACCTCTCCTGTGGTGACCTTCACCTGTCCTGTGGTGACATTCACCTGTCCTGTGGTGATGGGAACTTTTCCTGCTGGAAGTTCTGTCCTTCTTTTCTCTTCTTTCTTTTTTTCCCTTCCGGGTTTCAGCATTGGGCTGGGAGACCTTCTGGCTTCCATCCCGTTCACTCATGTAGCCTTCGCTCTGCAAGGTGGAGACCAGGGGTCCTACAACTGGGCATCCAGATCTTTCTGCAGCAGCTGTGCCAGTTGTCATGGTGCCTGCAAACACCACACTCATGCTGCTCCCTGGGGAGATACTGGCAGCCCCCGTGGTCAGGGTAGAAGCACCTACTGAGGACATGCTTGCAGCACCCAAGGCCACATCTGTACCCTCTGAGGATATATTGACAGCACCTGCGATGGCCTTGTTGGATCCGCTTTCTCCCGGACATTTGACGGTGGCTCCAGACAGGGCCGTGCTTACCTGGCCTGTGCTGGTAGATTTGGTTGCTGCTAAGCTCAGAGCACCTGATGAAGAGCTTGTTTTTGCCCCTGCCACTGCCAAGCCTGCTGTAGAGCTTGTTGCTGATCCCGCTACTGCCATGCCTGAGGCTGCCCTGTTAGCTGCTCCTTTGACCATCCCTGCAGACCTCATTACTGCAGGTGAACTGGGCATTCCACGATGACCATGATGGATTCCCTCTCCCCCAGCGTAAGCAGAAGAGTTGGCTCTAGACACCTCACGGGGCTTGTGAAGCCTGAACTCATCCTGATCCCCTTCTCCATGGAGCTCTGTGGTCTGTGCCAAGGGGAGGAGAAATAGGTATGAAAGAGATGATAAAGTGAGACTAGAACTGTCTGCTCCTTTCTCAACCTGGAGCTGGAGCTGAGCCACTTGAAGCTTATAATTGGAAGGACCTTAGAAATGATCAAATCTATGCTCCTGCTTGATGCGAGATCCCACCTACACCACCCCTATCAAATGGTCACTTGGTTTTTACTTAACAGTCTCAGTGCCAGGGAAAGCACTGATACAATTCCCCATCCTCATATACTTTTCTCTCATACACGTGTTTATATCTCTGCAGGACAGATTCCTAGAAGTAGGATTGCTGGGCCAAGGGATCCACACATTTTACATTGTGGTGGCTGCTGAAATTGTGCATGTGCGACACACATGGGTTGTCCTGATCTTAATCAGCACATGGTAGTCACAGGGATACAGAACGAAGGAGAGACTTCCAAATTGTTAGCAATGTTCCACAGCTGATGAGAGTAACTGGGTTGGGATCAGTTTTCAAGAAGAGACTGGGCAATCAGGATGCCCAGATGGATGGAAGGAGTTACAACCCTAGGTATGAGACCAGAACAGCTAATACGTAAGGTCTCTCTGAAATTCAGCCTTGTGGAACAATGGTGAGAAGCACTCAGAACCTCCCCAGCGTGTTAAGTCCCCAGCGTGTTAAGTCCCCTAGTGGTGGCTCATTTAGCCTTGAGCCTATTCAAGTGGAATGCATTTCCCAGGTGCCTCAGAGAGCACCAGGGGTTCTATAGGATCAGCTCTGAGCTGCTCTCCCAAAGCACCCTGCCCCACTTCCTCCTGTCTCTGTTGATGCTTACCATTAGGCTTTTGTCATCTTCTAAGTTGGCTCCTTCCCCATTTGGCAGGGTCGGGGTACTGCTGCTGCTATCCGCTGGGGGTCTCAGAAGATAGACAAGTTTTTCCCAGTAGCAGAAGAGATCTTCTCGTGCATCTGAAGAGGGACACAGCTGCAAATAGAAAGTACGGCCAGTGGCAAGCTTCAGGCGCAGCTGCTGTTTCTCACGATCGTGAATGGAGATCTTGACAAATTTTAGGGGAAGCAGCCTGGTGAGCTCTAGGATCTTTGTGGGCTTGCGACCTCTCCCCTTGGTGGTGGTCCGGGCGTGTTTGGCATGTTCTTCACAGACTTTCGTTGGTCGAGCCAGCAGCATGACATCAGGTAGCGGGAGGATGGGACTAGTGGATGCAATGCCCACAGTCACCATTCGGACACGGTTGTGTACATCAATCACCTCTCCTTTTTTGCTGATCTGGATAAAGTCACTTTCAAACATAGGTGCATATTTGAAAATGTCATACTCCCCTCCCTTGTACAGTTGTCGTTGCAGTTCCCCCATGGAGGTATTGAACACACCCATTGAACGGTAGCTGTGGGCTGTGTAATAAGGTAACAAACACTCGCTGCTCATTGTTCTCTTCATTCTTGACAGCTCCACCAGCCACAAATCGAGTCCTTGAGAGAAAGAGGGAGTGAAGGCAACTGCCCATCTCCCTGCAGGGCTCTGCCTAAATCTCCCCTCACTACTGCATTTATCCTTCACAGTCCTTTGTGACCTGTCCCCATCACACACCCCTTTGTCCCAGCCTCCAAGCAGCCATCCCCTTGGGGCAGGGTCACCAGTCTCCCCCCAAACTAACCACCACCTTCCCCAGGGGACAGGCTGACCCTGCCAGGGTGGAGGTGGAGGTAGACTAGATATTCTTTTAATCAAGATGTTAGGATATATAATTTATGTAACCATTCTGCTTTTGTAAATATCTGGGTTGCTTCTGGTTTTGTTGTTACAGATCTCCCTATAATGACCATCTTCCTGCAAGTATATTTTGCATCTGCTAAACTATGTCCTGGGGATCAAATCCTAGAAGTGGACCATGTGATTGCTAAGGGCAGATCCTGTTGGGATTGCTGTTCTGCATGTCCTCAGTGTATAGCACACTGCTGATGGGCACTCAGAAGTAGTTGCTGAGTAAATGGCCCAAAGGAACTACTGCTACCTGTTAGAACCAAAATTCCATTTGTACAGTGGTTTCCAGGGCACAGAGGCTTCTCTCACCCATTTTCTCATATAAAGGAGGTGAAATTTTAAAACCATAATTTTATGATGATGAGCTAAGGCTCAGGGTTATCTTGGTCAGTGTCAGAATACACAGCTGGATTCCATCCCAGGTCTTGTGACTCAGGTCAGGATTTTTTTCTGCCTTAGGCTGCATGGCTCACCATTAGACTCTCATTCTGCACCAAATATGGAATCATTTGCAGGTAGCAATATGCGTGGGGACTTACTGGGAACCACGGGGATTCATAGAGGTCTTGAATCACCATAGGATTTCCCGCACTGGTATGCCTGCTGCTTCACTCTTGATGTCTACCCGATAACCACTGATGTTTTGTTTCTTTGAAAAGCACTTCAGAGAAGTTATGGCATCTTTCTGGAGTGTTTTTTTTTTTTTTTTTTTTTTTTTACTTTACACAAATTCCCCCTCCCCCAGTTAGAAGACTACTTCTAAAATGAAAATGTGCCCCCTCAAACTCAACAATCACCATGTGAAGGTATTTCAACCCCAAAATGTTCTTTTTTAAAGCTTTATTTATTTAGTTTAAGTAGGATCCTTGTCCAGCATGGAGCCCAACATGGGGCCTGAACTCATGACCCTGAGATCAAGACCTGAGCTGAGATCAAGAGTTGGACGCCCAACCAACTGACCCACCCAGGTGCCTCCAAATGTGCTTTTTTATACCCCTAGTACCTACCACATTATCTGATACATTGCAGCCTTCCAATATATATGAGCTTCCTCATGGCCATTGAGATGAATTCTTCTATTTGTTTATTCCACAAAACTGATTGAGCAAGTATAAATCTGGGGACCAACTAGAAAATGGAAATGCAAAGATAAAGGTCTTTACCTCTGAAAGGCTAAACAGTTTTCTTCTAAAGATGTTAAATGACATACCTAAAAAACAAAGCAAAACAAAACAAAAAAACAAAGTGGCTTATATTCTATTTTGAGGAGATAATCACTAAAAGTTAATACTATCAGGTTTAAAAATAAGAAGTTAGATTTTTCTATATTATAGGCAACCATATATTCCCGTAAGTTTTTTTTTCTGATGAATAGTTAATTATAAGAGAAAACAATCATATTATTAAGAACTTATAAGCCAGGTGGGTTACTTGCCACTTTGCATTCTTTTAAAAATTGAATCCTCACAACAGCTCTATAAATTGTAGGTACAATTACTATCTGCATTTTATAAAGGAGAAAATCAAGGCTAAAAGAAGCTAAACAACTTCTTCAAAGTCACAAAAGATCAAATACACATGGAAGTCCCCACATGTGGCCGTGGTTAAACTACACCAGACTGAGCCGCACAAATAGAGCACACATATACGAGTACTGAGCAGCATAAATTCATCTATTTAATTAATATTATTAAGCGTCTACTTTGTTCCAGGCCCTGTTCTAGGTACTAAGAGTACACAGCAATGGACAAAACAGACAACTACCCTAGCTCTCACAGAACTTGTTCATAGACAAAAAGAGGCATAAAATACTTGGTGTGCCCACTGATGATAAATGCTATGGAGAAAGATGAAGTAGGCAAGCTGAACAGGAGTAACTGAGTGAGAAGGGGGAGCTGGAGATGCTGGTCAAGCAAAGTTCAGTGATGAGAGATATTTAAGCAAAGACATAAAGGAGGTCAAGGAGGAAGCGGTGCAGACACCTAGGGGTGTAGCCTCTCAGTTGGAGGCAATAGCAAGGGCCAAGATTCTGAGGTAAGAGCATCGCTGCTATGTTAGAGGGGCACCAAGGCAGCTACGGTGACAAGAGTAGAATGAAAGAAAGTAGTTGGCAATGAGGCCAAGAGGCAGCTGTGGTGACAGTACGGGAGCAGATGGCATAGGACAGACCTTGTAGAACTGTGAGGTCTGGCTTTGCTCTAAATGGGAGATGATCAGACTGACATAGGCGGAGGATCATTCTTGCCACCATTCTGGAAAGAGATTGTAGAGCTGCAGAGGGATAGAAGTGGAGACTGGGTGGCTCCTGCAAGAGTTGATGAGTAAGACAAGTGTGGTAGCAATCCAAGTAGTGTAGTGAGGAGTGATCAGTTGCTAGACATGTTTTGATTGAGACAGCTATTATATATACGGGTGTTGAAAAATTTTCAATAGATATTAGTAAGTGAAAAAAAGCCAGTTGCAAAATAGCATATATGATATGTCATATATTTTTGAATAAAACATTTTGAAACTTGTATATGTTTGTGTGTGTGTACATACATGTGCAAAGATGTGCAAGATACTGGTAACAAGAGCAACCTTGGGGCAACTCGTTGGCTGAGGGAAATGGTGGGATAGAGACTTAGCTCTCCAGAGCATTCTCTTCTATACCTTTCAGATTTTGTTTCATTGCACATACTACTTACATAGAAATAGACAATATTTTAAGATTTTTACATTTATAAAAATGTTATATCGGTAAGACTCTAAGAATATTCATTGATTCAGGCCTTCACATAGAAAAGAAGTAAATAAATAGCTTCATTAAAAGGTAACTCTCCCTAGCACATTTCAGAATTTGAGAACCAAAATACAAAATATCATTCAAAATTTATTTTCTGATTTCTCCTTAAGACCTTTCAAAAATGTATTCTCTCTTCCCAACCTTTAAAAGCCCAACACATCCCCTATCAAAAATATGAAGATCGGGCAGCCCGGGTGGCTCAGTGGTTTAGCGCAGCCTTCACCCCGGGGTGTGATCCTGGAGACCCGGAATCGAGTCCCACATGGGGCTCCTTGCTTGGAGCCTGCTTCTCCCTCTGCCTATGTCTCTGCCTTTTTCTCTCTGTGTGTCTCTCATGAATAAATAAATATAACCTTAAAAAAAATGAAGATCAATAAGTTAGGATATATTTACTGATTGGCCTTTCCATTGCCCGTTATTGTGCTAAGAGCATTCAAGTTATCAAAATGTAAATCTCAAAAAATTTTAAAGATGATTTTCATTCAAACATAGAATGAAAACACGACAAAGATTTAATTAATCCATCAATGAGAGAACCAGCAGGATGTTAAAGCTGGTTCAAAAAAGAATCAGAGAGATCCCTGGGTGACTCAGTGGTTTGGCGCCTGCCTTCGGCCCAGGGCATAATCCTGGAGACCCGGGATGGAGTCCCACATTGGGCTCCCTGTGTGGAGCCTGTATCTCTCTCTTCTCTCTCTCTCTTTCTCTCTCTCTCTCATGAATAAATAAATAAAATTTAAAAAAAAAGAGCAGGTCAGTATCCTATGACTTGTTTTTTTTAAAAAAAAACAACAAAAAAGAATCAGAGGAATAGTCATTGGTATTAGAAAAAGAATATCAGGTAAACATTTCAGATTAGTTACTAAACTGGTTAAATCTCTACGGAGCAACACAATCTCAACCTTTGAGGTTATCTTTTTTATGAGGGAGAAATTATTTGCATCTCTTCTAAACAAAAATCTGTAAGTTATGACAGAACTTCACAGAGTCTGATACTTGAATCAAGAGTAGATAGCCTTCTTAGGGTACCAAAAATGTTCTCAAATTACTCTGTGATAGTTACGAACTCTGAATATACTAAAAACCACTGAACTTTACAGTTTCAATGAATGGATTTTATGGTATGTGAAATGTATCTCAGTAAAGCTGTTAAAAATAATAGATAGCAATACTTCAGTCTTAACTTATTGATCCAATTCCATTGTCTTATTTCCTTCTCTTAGCTAATTAAGCAATCCTTGGGCTGGTGTGTTAAGCAATGCTTTAATATGGCACTGATAGTACATGTTGTCTGCTTGACAATTTTTTATTTAGAAGTTTGGATAATTTTTCTTAACAAGGAAGATAGTGAACCGTGTATAAGCCATGACCTTAATTTCAGAAAGCTTATGATCCAGGAGAACACACTACAAACGGACAACAAAAGAGAAGGGCAATTAAATATATGATAAGGTAAAATAACGAATGAGTTGAATGGTGAACCTAATATCACCCATCCCAATTATTAAAACCAACAATGATTGTTTTGTATGAAAAACTGCCAAAGCCACAATTCTAAGCATAATTTTCCTTATATTTTTAATTGGCCTAAGATTAAAGAGATGTGCAAAGTGAAAACCCTATATATGATATACTGAGTATAGACATGCAAGATTATAGGTGGCTGAAGTCTACTATTTATCATGGGAAGAGGTTTCAAGTCAATAACTTTTGCTCCCCATCTATTATTTTGAAAACCAAGGCAAGCAGAAAGCTATATATAGCCTTTTCAATGAATATGCCACCCGAGAGGGCATTGTGAGCTAGGGCAGGATGTGAGGGCGGGGAGATTTCCATACTATACACAATATGTATCTGCTGGGTAAATCCCCTGGCCTAA